AGTTCATCCCACACCCCCCTCATCCCTTAGTCTGTTTTACTGGACCTTTACTGTACATTATTTCTTTTTAATATCAGGTATTACAACAATTCACGCTAAATTTTCTTTATATTTTCAATATGTTTCTTCAAAGTTGAAAAAAAATTGAACTGTGTTAACCCTTTGACTGTCACGGCCGTATATATACGTCTTACGAGGTACCGTGCTTGACGTATATATACTCATAAATTCTAGCGGCTTCAAATCAAGCAGGAGAAAGCTGGTAGGCCTACATGTGAGAGAATGGGTCTGTGTGGTCAGTGTGCACCATATAAAAAAAATCCTGGAGCACGCAGTGCATAATGAGAAAAAAAAAACTGACCGTTTTTTTTTAATTAAAATGCCGACTTTGTGGTCTATTTTCGTATAGTATTTATGGTTGTATTCTCATTTTCTTGGTCTCATTTGATAGAATGGAAAACATATTATAGAAATAGAGGTGATTTTGATTGATTTTACTATAAAAAGAACCTAGAAATGGAGCTCGAAGTAGGGGAAATGTTTGATTTTTGCCAATGTTCAAAAGTAAACAAATGATGCCATTGTCCAATAAATGTCCAACTAGCCATTCTAATATGCAGTCATGAATGGGTTGATGTTATTTATACAATTATTACAGTATTGCAGTAGTCTGCATAATAGTAAATCTTCTATCTTTTGTTTGAATAAAAATTCAAAATAGAAAGCAAGAGTAATATCAGAGGGGCCTGGAGACATGACTGATGAACAAAGAAAATGTTATTTTAGAGCCAGGAATGTCTGCATTGTTCATTCTGGACCTTGTTTTGAAATTGTCATATATTTTAGTTTTCGTGAAATTGGTCAAATTGCAAATTTCTGACCACATTACAGTGGACCCCCGCATAACGATTACCTCCGAATGCGACCAATTATGTAAGTGTATTTATGTAAGTGCGTTTGTACGTGTATGTTTGGGGGTCTGAAATGGACTAATCTACTTCACAATATTCCTTATGGGAATAAATTCGGTCAGTACTGGCACCTGAACATACTTATGGAGTGAAAAAATATCGTTAACCGGTGGTCCACTGTATTAGGTAGTTGAAATCGGTAAATGGGCAGTTTCTTGTATTCAATCGATAGAAAAAATGGAGTTCTAAAGAAATAGCTATGAGTTTGGGCGACTGGAACATTGGAATTAGCCGAAAATAGGGCTCAAAGTGGGCGAAATCGCCGATTTGTAAACAGCTCCGAGGTCGCTAACTTCGCGAGAGCATAATTCTGTCAGTTTTCCATCAAATTTCGTTTTTTTGGTGTCATTACAATCGGGAAAAGATTCTCTATCATTTCATAAGAAAAAATAATTTTTTTTTTTTTAAATTTTGCGACACCAGGAGACACCTCAGGATTAGGAGTTGCGACAGTCAAAGGGTTAAAACAGGAGCCCATAATTGTTTTACACAATGGTAGGACTGCTGGTGTCTTTTTTCTGTCTGGTAAACATGAAAGACCTCAGGTACGTCTTGCTACTTCTATTTACACTTAGGTCACACTACACATACAAGCATATATATACATACCCCTCTGGGTTTTCTTCTATTTTCTAACTAGTTCTTGTTTATTTAATTTTATCTCCATGGCGAAGTAGAACAGAATTCTTCCTCCGTAAGCCATGCGTGTTTTAAGAGGCGACTAAAATGCCAGAAGCGAGGTGCTAGTAACCCCTTCTCCTGTATACATTACTAAAATTAAAAAGAGAAACTTTTTTTTTCTTTAGGTCACCCTGCCTTGGTGGGATATGGCCAGTTTCACGGAAAAAAAATTAGAAATTTGTCAGTTATATAATTCAGTTTAATAATGGAGAGGGAGGCTGTTGTTCAAGTTCTGAACTATAATTTTAGAATTTCAATTTGTTTATTGTAACAATCCATGACTTTTTTGGGTTATCTTAGGTTCTCTACACATATGTTGCTATGTATGATAATTCTATGTAACTGTATTTGTGTATACCTGAATAAACTTACTTACATGTTTTTTTAAGTTTTCAGAATATTTAAAACTTTAAGTAAGTGTACGGTGTTTTAGTTTTATGTTTAATATACAGTGGAACCTTGGTATACGACCAGCTCCCCATTCGAACAAAGCTCAGCACTTGACCAAACATTTTTTGGCTTTTTTTTTTAGTATTATTTGTATAAATAAGTCACCATGGGGCCTACGACGATTAGTGGTAACATCCAACCAAACAGAAAATTGGTTGGGAAGAACTTGTTTGATATTCAAAAGGAGCGGCACTTGAACAGCCTTCCGGAATGAATTAAGGTCGTATACCAAGGTTGCACTGTAACTGGAAATTATTCAGACATCTATTTTCATAACTGAATTCTGATATCTTCATCACATAACTAAATATATTGATAGATCCAGAAATTTTATAATTTCTTTTCTCAATTTGTAAGCCTCACGGTGGTGCCTGTGTAATGTATATGGACTATTAGCATCTCAGAGAAATTAAGTTATTTAACAATTAACATTTCTAGGTTATCTGATACCTATTCAGCAATAAGCATACCCTTCTACAATAAAAAAAATATCGAAAAGTAAAGGTATCAACAGTACTTGTGGCATCGGCCTAAAAACTGAGTACAGTGGACCCCCAGTTTACGATATTATTTCATTCCAGAAGTATGTTCAGGTGCAAGTACTGAACGAATTTGTTCCCATAAGGAATATTGTGAATTAGATTAGTCCATTTCAGACCCCCAAACATACACGTACAAACGCACTTACATAAATGCACTTACATAATTGGTCGCATTGGGAGCTGATCGTAAAGCGGGGGTCCACTGTACTGGTATCAGTATCATAAAAAATGTTAGCTTCGTCACATCACATATTTTGTCTCGCATGTTTGTAACTGAAGATGGGCATCTATAAAAAGTTATTGTCACAATATTGTGGCTTATGAACCTGCTTCATAAATGTGTATCATTGTAATCCTGGTGATCTAAGTTGGAGAGTTATCCTAACAAAAAGATTAGGCAGCGAAACACTGGATATCAGATTGGAGGGAGAGAGTATGGAGGTGGTGAATGTATTCAGATATTTAGGAGTGGACGTGTCAGCAGATGGGCCTATGAAGGATGAGGTGAATCACAGAAATGATGAGGGAAGAAGGGTGAGTGGTGCACTTAGGAGTCTGTGGAGACAAAAAGGGGAATGTATGAGAGTATAGTTATACCAACACTCCTGTATGAGTGTGAAGCATGAGTAATGAATGTTGCAACGAGAAGAAGGCTGGAGGCAGTGGAGATGTCATGTCTGAGGGCAATGTGTGGTGTGGATATAATGCAGAGACTTCGTAGTTCGGAAATTAGGAGAAGGTGTGGGATTACCAAAACTATTATCCAGAGGGCTGAGGAGGGGTTGTTGAGGTAGTCTGGACATGTAGAGATAATGGAACAAAACAGAATGACTTCGAGTGTGTATAAATCTGTAGTGGAGGGAAGGAGGGGTAGGGGTCGGCCTAGGAAGGGTTGGAGGGAGGGGGTAAAGGAGGTTTTGTGTGCGAGGGGCTTGGACTTCCAGCAAGCGTGCATGAGCATATTTGATAGGAGTGAATGGAGACAAATGGTTTTAATACTTGACGTGTTGTTGGAGTGTGAGCAAAGTAACATTGATGAAGGGATTCAGGGAAACCGGCAGGCCGGACTCGAGTCCTGGAGATGGGAAGTACAGTGTCTACACCCTGAAGGAGGGGTGTTAATGTTGCAGTTTTATAACTGTAGTGTAAAGCACCCTTCTGGCAAGACAGTGATGGAGTGAATGATGACGAAAGTTTTTCTTTTTCAGGCCACCCTGCCTTGGTGGGGATCGGCCGATGTGTTAATAAAAAATAAATTGGCTAAATGTGAATAGTATGTAAGAATCATGTAACTTTATGTAAGAATTATGTGAATGTATGTAAGATTTATGTGAATGATATGTAAGAATTCCTGGGTAGTAGGTGGTAGACAGCAACCACCCAGGGAGGTACTATCATCCTGCCAAGTGAGTTTCAAAGTCAAAGTCAAATTTTATTTCTTTGCAAGTAGTACATTGAGATTTATGTATTTACAATAATGAGTTGCAGTGAAAAGAGCCTCTATCATGCCTAGGTATTATGGGCAGACTTAATTAATTTAATGGCTTACTGACTACTTAATACTAAAGAAATTTCTTTTTTCTTTCAATGCACCAGCCGTATCCCACTGAGGTGGGGTGGCCCACCGAGGAGGGGTGGCCCACCGAGGCAGGGTGGCCCACCGAGGCAGGGTGGCCCAAAAGGAAAAACCAAAGTTTCTTCTTTTAAATTTAGTAATATATACAGGAGAAGGGGTTACTAGCCCCTTGCTCCCGGCATTTTAGTCGCCTCTTATGACACTCATGGCTTACGGAGGAAGAATTCTGTTCCATTTCCCCATGGAGAACTCAAGAAATTTATCATAGTTTAAGTTGTACAATAGTTCTATTAATTATAAATGAATCTAATTTACATAAACCAAAGAAAATATTCAACGGAAACCTGTAATTGTTTTACATGATGGTAGGAATGCTGGTGTCTTTTTTCCATCTCATAAACATGCAAGATTTCAGGTATGTCTTGCTACTTCTACTTACACTTAGGTCACACTACACATACATGTACGAGCATATATACACACTCCTCTGGGTTTTCTATTTTCTTACTAGCTCTTGGTCTTGTTTATTTCCACTCACCTCTGTGGGAAAATGGAACAGAATTCTTCCTCCATAAACCATGCGTGTCGTAAGATGGGACTCAAATGCCAGTGGCAAGGGGCCAGTAACCCCTTCTCCAGTATACGTACATTAATAAATTTAAAAAGAAAAACTTTCGTTTTGGTGGGATATGGCTGGTTTGATGATAAAAAAAAAAAAAAGTAAGAATTATGTGAATGTTATGTAAGAATTGATGTGAATGGTATGCAAGCAAAATTTACCTTAACCTGATCCAGAGTGCCACAGCTAACAACACCAAAGGAGACAATTCTGCCATCAACTGGGCTGACTACAGAGGCAGACACATCTACTGGACGCAAGCCATCTTTCAATGAGCGTCGAAACAGTTCTGAGAGACACCTGTATTTACCAAGATCCTCTACTTCGGCTTCGGCCATGTTGCATCCAAATGTTCGCACGTAGAGCCCTAGAACAGACTTCCTAGACCATTCTGGCAACTCTAATGCTGAAATGAAGAAAATGGAAAAATAAAAGTAATGTGATATGAATTTTGTCTTAAACTGGGTGATCCAGCCCCTCCCCCAAAAAAAGGAAATGCATTCACCATGATTCATTCAACTGATGCCTCGTCAGAAGCATGCATACACCACAGTTTGGATGGACCTACAAACTGCAATATCCTCATCCCTCTTTTATAGTGCAGATACTGTAATTCTAGTAGAACAAAAAAGCACAATATCGCAACAGGAACAATACACAAAAATAACCCGCACATAGGAGAGAAGAGCTTACTATGACGTTTTTGCCTGACTTGGTAAATGGTCCAGTCGGACTGAAACATAATCGTAAGCTCCTCTTTCCTACGTGCAGGTTATTTTTGTGTACTTTAATTTTTACCTCCATTACTCAAGTCTGGTTAACCAGCTTCCCTGTATCTGTTCATAAATGCTATCTTGCTCACACTCATACTAATTTTCACATCCTAATAAAGTATGCTATGCAATATGACGTAGTAATAGTCCTTCCAAGTGCTCAACAAGAACTAATCTCAAATGATGCCACACTACGTTATAACTTCCAAATCAGGGGTCCCAATCTGCAGCCCGTGGGCCACATTTGGCCCTTCTTGCAAATGGATGCGGCCCTCACATAAAATTATGGATACGGTAAGTCTTCGACTTACAAATATGTTAAGAATCTTCTGTATTGTGTATATCATTATTGTGTATAACATTATTATTTTATCATTATTATGTACAAACAGGTCCCCAACATGTTCGTAAGTTGAAGACTTCCTGTACTGTGAATATTATACACAATTCAGGAGGTTCCCCAATGTGTAAGTTGAGGACTTACTGTACACTTTTTTGTAAGTTCCAAACTGCACAGTGTCAACAATATGTACAGTTGTACCTTGAGTTATGAGCTTAATTCGTTCCAGAAGGCTGTTCGAGTGCCGATACCGAACGAATGTGTTCCCGTAAGGAATAATGAAAATTAATCGGTTTCAGACCCCCAAAAATACACTTACAAAAGCACTTACAAAAATACACTTGCATAACTGTTCCAGTTGGGAGCTGCTCGTAACTCAAGGTACCACTGTATACTGAAGTGAAACTGGCATTTCTGATAAAAAGTTCAGTGAAGAAAATTGGCCCTTTTATACTAAAAGGTTGGGGACTACTATTCTAAATCATCTGTAAATTTTCTGGGGAAAGCACAAAACCCCTAAATCACAAAGAGCCATACAAAAGAAGTGAAAACATGGCACATAGGAAGAGGCAGAGATATCAGCAGAAAGAAGGGAAAAAGGGATAACAAGTGATGTAGCTAATCAAAGGCAATCAAAAAAGTGAGTCTTCATTAGAGATGGGACAGTCAGAGATAACTTAGGTTTGTAAGAACAGAATCAGTGGCAGAGGTAGCAGGTCAGAAGGAATGACAAACAATGGTGGCATTGGTGTCATCAGCAATAATGGTATCAGCAGTGGTGTCAACATTAACCCTTAAACTGTCCAAATGTAGATCTACGTTTTTTCAACATTTGAAAGTAGTACAGTGGTCCCTCAATTATCATCCTTAATCCATTCCTGGAAGTGGGACTATTATCGAAATAGATGATTTTCGAATCAATTTTCCCCATAAGAAATAATATAAATCCAATTAATTCGTTCAAAACACCCAGAAGTATCAACAACAATTTTTTTTTTTACCTAAAAGATAGATTTACATGCACAAAAGAATGAACATTCAACATGACAGTTACCTTTATTAAGGCTGTTGTTGATGAATGGAAGACAGGGAGGAGGAGAGAGGGAAGAGAGGTTATTGTTTGGAAGGGGAATCCCCCTCCATAAGGACTCTATAAGATAAGATAAGATAAGATTTTGTTCGGATTTTTAACCCCGGAGGGTTAGCCACCCAGGATAACCCAAGAAAGTCAGTGCGTCATCGAGGACTGTCTAACTTATTTCCATTGGGGTCCTTAATCTTGTCCCCCAGGATGCGACCCACACCAGTCGACTAACACCCAGGTACCTATTTGCTGCTAGGTGAACAGGACAATAGGTGTAAGGAAACGTGTCGGAATTTCCACCCGCCGGGAATCGAACCCGGGCACTCCGTGTGTGAAGCGGGAGCTTTAGCCACCAGACCACCGGGCCACCTGTCACTTCAGGGGTCACTTCCCTAGCATAAATATAGATTTACATGCAGAAAAAAATGCTAAATAAATGTATTATTATTATTATTATTACAATCAAGGGGGAAGCGCTAAACCCGGAGGATTATACAGCGCCTGGGGGGGATGTGGAAGGCATTCAGGCTTAATTCGGGGAACTGGAGCATAGATCCAATTCCCTAAATCAAGAGCCCCTCACCAACATCAAGGAACCTTCCTTGAGGGGTAAATAAATGTAAAGCACCAATAAAATGTATAAATGAACATTGGTAATAGGGGTAGTTGATGAGTGGAATGGTCTGCCTAGTAGGGTGATCAAAGCTAAAACATTGGGTAGTTTCAAATTTAGACTGGATAAATACATGACTGAGAGGGGTTGGATTTGAGTCGGACTTGCACCTGAGCTTATTGCTTGGGTAGCATTTGTTCTGTTAGTGGGTTGGATTTGTGAAGGACCAGCCTAGTATGGGCCAGCAGGCCTACTGTAGTGTTCCTTCTTTCTTATGTTCTTATTGGAGACTTGTTTGTGTGAGGGAGGGATGGCAAGTTTATTGTTGGAGAATATGACACTAATATCAACTCTACGGCTTATTTATCTATCACAATTCAACTAATATGACATAATAAACGATATTAATAACATAGAAATATGGAATATACTCTAGAATGAATAAAATAAGTCATTACGTATGTCACGAGAGGTGTTGTGTTGTGTTGTTGTTGGGTATATAAGGGCCACCGAGAGTAAGCCGTCCATAATGGTGGTGAAGCAGCAGCAAGGCGGCGGTGTTTTCTGTAGCCCTATATAACTCCAACAACATTGGAGGAGTTAGTATAATCACTGAATCACTAAAGAAAGAACCCTGTACCACCATCACTACCACCATCAACCACTATCACAACTGCTTCCACTCGACCACTACCACCACCACCACCACCTTTGTATTTTTTTACAAACTTTTTCATAAATTATATGTGTTTCTCACATTCTTTACCAAAGGGCTGGCACTAGGAGCTTTCTTTGGAGCCATGGTAGCTTATTTAGCACTTGCAAGCACTAAAATCAATGGAATATTATGAAATATTTCGTAGGAGCAAGTGAGGGGACCGTCGCTCACTTGTAAACAATGGCACACTGGCTTGGAAGGCAGGCCCAGGCGGCTCAGAGCGTGAGTATGTGTCCCAGACGAAGGACGATTAGCGAGTTAATGGACCATTTGCGAGCCAATGTTTAGACGAAATAAAGGGACTATTTCCGAAATGGATGACTTTCAGGCCGGACAATTATTGAGGGACCACTGTATGTAAAAAAAGTATAAAAAAAAAAACTTTGGTCTACATTTTTTTTGTTATATTTGAAAATACAGTGTATGTAAAAAAAAAAACAGATCTACTTTTGGAGCACTATGCATGTGAACGTAGATCTGCTTGGACAGTTTAAGGGTTAAAGCTGACAGTGCAAGACAAAATCAACAAAATAAATAACAGTGAATCTGAAGTGATGAATACCCAATTACAGTGGTACCTCGAGTTATGAACTTAATTCGTTCCAGAAGGCTGTTCGAGTGCCGATACCGAATGAATTTGTTCCCATAAAGATTAATGTAAATTAGATTAGTCCATTTCAGACCCCAAAAAATACACTTAAAAAAGCACTTACAAAAATACACTTACATAAATGTTCGAGCTGGGAGCTGTTCGAAACTCAAGGTACCACTGTATTAACAAAACCAACATAAGAATCTGAAGTGATGAATATCCAGTCACTAATAACAACATAAGACTGCTCAACTCCGAACGTACCATTTACCCAACCCCAGGCTCTTGAGAATGATCGGAGAGGTAGTAACTTGTACGCTTCAACTTCCCATTCATCGGCTAAGCAGTCGCACGGGTCCAACCGACCAAGTTTTGCAGCTTCCCTCTTTCGAGTGTGTCTATACTGTTGGAATGCAATTAGTGCCAAGCCAACACCAACTGGTAAAGGAGTCCAGCGAAGAGAGCGAAGATACTGCTTTAAACTTGATTGGGCCATAATGTTTGTATCAAAAAACACTGTAAAGAAAAATTCCAAAGAAATTAGTTAAAACATTTCTTGTACAATATCATTATTATATTTATTTAGTGAAACATTTCTTTTACCACATTATCATCATTACACTTTAAACTATAAATTCACAAATGCCATAAAGTTCTTGTGCCATAAACCCACACATACAAACTTGATAATTTAAAGTTAAATAATAAAAATCCTCCTGTTAGTAAAAAAAAAAAAAGTTTTTGTATCCTTTTTTATTCTGTAAACACTGCTTTTATTTCAAAATGAGATGAGATGACGTGCAGAAGAGCTCTGTTAGCTAGTAAGTTACAACACTTCTCCAATTCCATCTTTCTTCCTCTCTTTGTACCATCCTTGTCCCACTCTCCTATGTATACTGGCTCCTACACTCGTGTGTTCGTGTGACTTGTAAATGGTCCACATCAAACCGAAACATCGTCGTAACCTTCTGTTTCCTATATGTGGGTTATCTGTGTATTAGAGTACTCAATCTATACTAGTTACCCTCCACATGTCACACCTTTCATGTAGCTTGCTCCCCCCTCTCACCCAGCTATTATCCAATGCATTTGCAAACAAGGCCATGGTAGGCCTATGAGTTTACACTAATTTTCTGAATTACATCAACATGCATCTGTGAAACAATTGGTTTCTCATAATGTGGATATTTATAAAAGATTGTACAGTACAGTGGTACCTCGGGATATGAACAACTGAAAACTAGAACAATTATGTAAGTGTATTTACATCAGTGCTTTTGTAAGCGTATTTTTGGGGGACTGAAATGGATTAATCTAATTTACAATGTTCCTTATGGAAACAAATTCATTTGGTATCGGCACTCAAACAGCCTTCTGGAACGAATTAAGTTCGTATCTCGCGGTACCACCGTATACATACAGTGGACCCCCAACTCACGATATTAATTCGTTTCAGAAGGCTGTTCGGGTGCCGTTACTGAACAAATTTGCTCCCATAAGGAATATTGTAAATTAGATGAGTCCGTTTCAGACCCCCAAAAATACACTTTCAAAAGCACTTACAAAAATACACTTACATAATTCTTTGAGTTGGGAGCTGATCATAAGTCGGGGGTCCACTGTATTTCACCTAAAAACACATCTCTGACTCAGTGATGGAGTGAGATATAACCATCAGTGTTAGCACAGTACAGTAAACCTTTGCTTATGGTTTTAGATTTAACATACTCTGGAAATACTGGACAAAATCTGCTGGGTCATCAGATTCAGAAACAATGGGCTAAGTTTATAGGTTACAGATTTGTCTGTTATTATAATCATGGAAAAACAATCTCATCTCTATAAACCACAATTGTGGCCTGGTGGCTAAAGCTCCCGCTTCACACACGGAGGGCCCGGGTTCGATTCCCGGCGGGTGGAAACATTTCGGCACGTTTCCTTACACCTGTTGTCCTGTTCACCTAGCAGCAAATAGGTACCTGGGTGTTAGTCGACTGGTGTGGGTCGCATCCTGGGGGACAAGATTGAGGACCCCAATGGAAATAAGTTAGACAGTCCTCGATGACGCACTGACTTTCTTGGGTTATCCTGGGTGGCTAACCCTCCGGGGTTAAAAATCCGAACGAAATCTTATCTTATCTTAATCACTAGCCACATATCTTCCTCCTATTAGTCTCCATATATCGTAGATTTACTCTATTGTAAATGATCAAAGATTTTATGGAATTTAATGAAGCTCCAAAGTGTGAATGCCTTCAAAAACAATTTGCCATCAAATATGATCTAAATACGTATACTTGTTACTGGTTTTGAGGGATTTTGACCAGCCTGAGGCCAGGCTGATCTGTCAGCTACCAGGTTACCCAAGTTTTCTGCTAGCAGCCAATATGGCCAGCACAGCATGGCTATATATGGGACTAAGTTACCTGAAGAAGTTGAGCACCATCAGGAAAGCTATTACCTTCACTAAGAATGTTTCCTTACACCTGCTGCTCCTGTTAGTGGAATGGTGTGGGTGGCATCCTGGGGAACATGAAGGACCACAATGGAAATAAGACAGACAGTCCTCAATGACACACTGACTTTTTTCTGTTACCCCGGCTGTCTAACTCTGGATTAAAGATCTGAACAAATCTCATCTTTTTAGTTAGACACAATTACACAGTTTTTAGAAGATTACAAATGTTTGTGATTAAATTGCAAACTAAAGCCCAATGCATAGCATAAAACAGCCATTATCACTACTCGTATTCCACTTGCATAGGAAGGGTAAGCACACAAGCAGAATGGATGGGAACGTATGCAAGCAAAAACATTGAAGACAAAAATTTTATTATTATCACACTGGCCGATTCCCACCAAGGCAGGGTGGCCCGAAAAAGAAAAACTTTCACCATCATTCACTCCATCACTGTCTTGCCAGAAGGGTGCTTTACACTACAGTTTTTAAACTGCAATATTAACATCCCAGTGATATATTACTGTTATATCCTGGCAAGGTCGATGCCTTGCTTTTTTCAAAAAACCCAATTACTTTTTTTTTGGTTATCCTAGGTAATGTACACTATGCATGATAATTGTATTTATGTGTACCTGTACCTAAATAAATTATTCAATAATACAGCACCTGGGAAATGAGAAACAATCAGGTTAAGAATAAAAGAATTTTATTTCTTCACAAAGATTACAATGTGTAATTAAAATTTTGATTTGTTAAGTACCTGGAGTTTACCTGGAGAGAGTTCCGGGGGTCAACGCCCCCGTGGCCCGGTCTGTGACCAGTACAAAGAAAGCCACTATCATGCCGGGGCATTTTGGACAGGGGAGACCATGTCCAATTCCTTGGATCAAGAGCCCTTCACTAGCATAAAAACACCATCCTTGAGGGGAGGATAAAATAAATGTTTTCAATTTGTTTACGAATACACTTGTTACACATATTGTAACTTAACCAGATAAACTGGATATCATTCCAATAGCCAATAAGAAACTGGCTCGATCACCGATACTGGTGGAAATGTTGGTCATGTTTCCTTACAGTAAGTAGGTACCAGGTAAGAATATTCCTTACAGTAGGTAGGTACCAGGTAAGAATATTCCTTACAGTAAATAGGTACCTGGTAAGTAGATTCCTTACAGTAAGTAGGTACTTCTTCTGATGACCAGAGCTTTGGTAAGATGGGTAAGGAAGAAGGATGGGTAAGGATGGAAATATTGGAAAAGGGTGGGAGGGGGGAGAGAGGTAGGATATAAAAGGTAAGTGGCCCAACCACTTTGGTGTAATTTAAAAAGTGTATGTGAAATGATAAGATATTCTTTAAGGGGTATAATACTAACCCATCAGAGTCACATAGATATAACAGATATATAAGTACATGACTCTGAATTGGTAGTAATTATACAAGTTGCAATTACTTTTTTTTTTTTTTTGCGATTGCACAACGGATATTTATGCGACAATGAAGGGAATAATTTTCTGGCCAGTTTATGGAATTACGTGACAATGGCTTCTTACAGGTGGTGTCCAGCCATGGTAAATAGCATAATTTTTACATTAGATTGTTATATAAGATGTCTCCCTAATTGGGGGCGATGATTTTCTTAGTACGTATTCATAGAAGGGTTCTGGTGCTACCCAATCTTCTTCATCAGGGAGGTTGCTCAATATCATGGGTCGATGGTAATCATCTTTATGTATAAAACGACAGACCCTCTGTGGGAGAGTCATTCTTTGAGTCCTGTGAGGAGGAGTATTGATTATATAATCTGTGGTATTTACCACTTGTATAGGATGTTCTCTATCTGGCATGTATAGTTCTTGCATTGAATAGAGTTGTTTCTTTTTTAGAGTGTCGAGGCGTACATTTATGGCAGTAATATCTTGTTGTATGTGTAAATCTGCAATTTTAACTCTGTCTCTCCTCCTGGTATCGGTAATGAAGCGAAGAGCTCTATTCTGGACCCTTTGTAGCCGTAGCATGTTGGTCTTTGTTGTTAATGACATTGGGACACAAGGGTATTCGAGTATTGGTCTTATTATCATTTTATATAGATGTTTTTTGACATGTTGAGGGGCTTGATTGAATCTAAAGAGACTGCTAAGACCAGCTTTGGCTATGTTGATCTTTTTAGTTACATGAGATGTTGAGTGGAGCAGCCTGTCTATTTCATATCCCAAAATCTTGTTAGGGTTTCTAATGGCTACAGGTGTACCTCTGATGGAGATACCCCCTTTATCTTCAATTGTTGATGCAAAACATCCTATCGTGCTAACAAGGACCTTGTCAGGATTAGTCGTAATTCTCCATTTCTTTTCCCAATTAGATGTTCTACGAAGTTCAATATTCATTTTTTCTATGACTCTCTCATACTTGTATTTTCCTGTTACCGGAGTTGATGAGACGACATGAATAACATCATCTGCAAACTGTGTCACAATTGTATCATTAAACTCTGGTTGAGGAAGGTCATTCACATAAATGTTGAATAGAATTGGACTTAGACAAGAACCTTGTGGGACACCAGCTGTTGGTATAAAAGGCTCTGCCGAACTGCCATGAAAGGTGGGAATGATTTTTCTTTGAGTTAAGAAATTATGTATTAATCTGAGAAAAGTCCAGTTATGGTCTGGTAGGTCAATGAGTTTGTATATAAGGCCATCATGCCATAAGCTATCAAAAGCTTTATGAACATCTCTGGTGGCAATTAAGGCAAGATTGCCCTGATGTTTTAGACTTGCTACAGTATCGAAAATAACATTTATTGCATGATTGGTACCTCTATGTGTTCTAAAGCCAAATTGTTTTTCAGTAAAAAAGTGATTAAACTCCATATAGTAGTTCAATCTGTTGGAAATGACCTCAAGAACTTTTCCAGTGACTTCAAGTAAAGATATAGGTCTATAGTTCCCAGGTTGGTGGAGGTCTTTATTGGGTTTACCAAGAAAGATCATCCTAGCAGTCTTAAAAACCACTGGAAAATGTCCTGAGGCCAAGATGGCATTAAAGATATTTACC